ATATATAAAAACACATACATTTTCTTTGCTTTTGGATTCTTCATTCACCACAGAGGCAAGCAAGAAAACCAAAGTCTTCTTTACAAATTCAATGTAATGCAGATTGATTGATATACTAATGGTCATTTGGTAAGTGTAGTATTCCTTTAATTCAATAATATGTTTTTGCTGGACTATATATATTCATAGGTGTTTCTAATATTCTGCCTCCATCTCGTGTCTGTAAATGTGAAGCCCAATACCACAGAAACATCTCTCAATATAATGTAGTCTGCTACGACACCACCTTTAACTTTGACCTCTACAATTAACTTATAATTTAATTTACAGATTTACAGCAATGTCACTAAAAACTGAACATTATGAGTTTTGTAAAGATGGATGGAACTGTTATGGCAGGGCAGCTGTATTGGTTTGCATTGGAGTGTACTGGTGCACATAATAAAGTGACAACTAAGTGTGCGGTACTCAATTAAAAAGAAAAAAAAAAATGAGCACAAGCACTTTTTGAATGTGACACAAAACCAGCGCAAGGCAACCAAAGTCTACATAAAGGGGGCATTATTTCAGCCCTTAATATTATTAATTATCAGGAAAAAAATAGGAAGAAAATGACAGATGAAAAATGGGAAATCAGCACTTAGTTCATGTCATATTAAAAGTCATAATTTTTAATTATCGTTGAGACCAGGACAAACAAAAGTTTCTCTTTGTAATAGTCATTTCAACTTGTCTGCTTGACTTTAGGATACAAAAATAATACTTTTTTGTGTCAATGTCTGTATGTTTTATCCTCCAGCATGACGGCCAGCCCTACTGCCACAAACCATGCTATGCTGTTCTCTTCGGGCCCAAAGGTAACCGCTAGGGGGTGCTGTCCACCCACCAATTATCAGCTACACTTGAAACAGAATGTCAATAAGTCTGAGCACTTGATCCGCGCTGCACACGTTGCACACAAGTTGTTACTCAAGAGTCATTTCAACACAGCATTGTCTACAGCACAGCAGCAGCTTCTTCAGGAAGTGTTTTGCAACCTCTCCTGCTCTTGTTGCACCTTCTCTCGCCCTCTCTGTTAACCTCCTGACACCCACTTCCTGTCCCTGTGGTTTTTCCAGGCGTGAACACTGGTGGTGTTGGCAGCTACATCTATGACAAGGAGCCCAGTGCAGTGACCCAGCCTTGAACCTTTTGTTCCCTCAGCTTCATCCCTCTTCTCTACACTGACCATCAACCACAGTATTATTTGTAGCCTTTTTTGTTTTCTCTTCCTCCCACCTGTGCATTCATACCTGAGACAACCAGCCTTCTGATCCTTTTGTCCTTTATTCTGACCCGGCTCTGATGTATTTAGCACCATAAGGAATGATTACAAATTGCCTAGACGTGTTTATCTGTGTATTTGCTCCTGGAGAGCCACATCCAGCATTCCCACAGAATAATACAAATAATTTCAATCATTTTTGCACATATACAAATGTATGAGAACACATTAAATGTCACCACAGTCAAATATGAACGTCTTATATTTCAATTTTGTACCCTGGAAACAGTGTGATTGATGATGTCTGTTTTGAGATGTTTAGAAAAAAAAAATGTGATGGTGAGTGATTCTCAGGTGTGGGGGGTAAAAAAGTGCATTGTGGGTCGTGTTGACAGCCAGAGGAATTTCAACTCAGAGGCTGCTGCACGCACAGGTGGTGCTCAGGAGTGCGTTGCCAATAAATCTGTATTTTACAAATGCCATATTTGCATTTTGGCTGCCTGACAACATTCCTTAGGTAAAAAGAAAAGTAAAAAAAAAAAAAAAAAAAACTCCCAACATATTGTAAAAAGATGGGAAAGTGGATCCCTCAGACAACTGTTACCAATTTTTACCACATCCACGAGGCTGTACTGAGTCAACATGCATTTATTGTACTTTTTGAGCATATGTTAATAACCTGTTTAAAGTCAAATCTGGATGATGTACTAATAAATAAGAGAAATGTCTATTTTTAAAACGAGGCAGAATGTGGGTGAAGTTTTGGGAAGGGAGGGCTATGATTTGCCAGATTTAAAACATGTATTTATTGCTTTAAACCACGTCCTTTAAATTTAATTAGCCTTTATACTACTACCCTTTTATGGGACTGATTACGAAGGAGGCCAAACAAGGCAATGTAAGCTGTATAAATCTCTGACAAAGATTTTTATTGTTAATTTCAAATAAATAACCCTGCTGTAATTTTCCGAGAGATGACATGCTATTTGAAGTATTTTTTGCCATTAGCAGAAACAGTAGCTTAGCTTGTAGAGACACTGCAGACAAGTCATTCTGTAAGAATGTGCATCCTTAGTATTACTGTACGACTGTTACTGTGTTTGTTTAATACCTGTTGTACATCGTAGGGCTTCATAGACACTGCAGGGCTCACTTGTTTGTAGAACTGAAATGCTGCACTTCAGCCCTGCTGCATTCGTCTTTTTAATCCCTCGAATAAATATTTCAGAAACTCTTCGTCTGTGTTGCTTCAGTTATTGTCTGACAAGTTCATGAATTAATAAACACACTCTTAGAAATACAGGTTTCAAAAGGGTTCGTCAGTGAGATCTTTAAGGATTGTTGAAAGAGTAAGTATTAAAAGATCCTCACCCTCAAATACTGTTGTGTTTACTCATGTTTCATATGTTCGTTTTAAATTTAGATGTACCTGGAATCTGAATCTGAAATTTTTGTGTTCTGCAATAATTTATATCTTTACCATCATTTCATGCCATCCAATAGTTAATTGCACACCTGTGTCGAACAGAGGTTAATTGGGCGGAGATTATGTCCACTCTGCCACACAGCATCCTGGTAGAGTTGAGATCCATTGCACCATTGACATAGTAAAGGCTGTCATAGTAATGATTTCATTAAATCAGGGTTCAGGGTAGAATCTCCCTGATGGGGTCTACGTGAAACCCTTGAACAATGTCAGAGCTCAGAGCTGAATCTCCTGGATGGAATCTAGATGAAACCCTTGGACTACATCAGGGTAGAATCGCCCGGATGGGGTCTATATGAAACCCTCCAACTAAATCAGGGTTCAGGGTAGAATTGCCCAGATGGGGTCTATATGAAACCCTTCAACTATATCAGGGTTCCCGGATGGGGTCTATATGAAACATTGGACTTAATCAGGGTTCAGGGTAGAATCTCTTGGGTAAATTTTTGATGGAACCCTTAAAATGTAACATGGTTCTATGTATTTAAACCCAGGGTTCTGGGTATAAACCCAGATCTCTGGGTGGGCTCTAGATGAAACCCTTTGCATACAAAAGGGTTCTCAGGAAAGCCCCCTAGGTGGGTTCTAGATGAAACCGTTGAAATATAACGGGGTTTTTGGTAGAACCCCCTGGGTAGCACCCTTAAAATGTACTAGATAGAACCCCTGGAGATGTTTCTGGGTGGGACAATTACACCATAGAAGGGTTTTCTGTAAAACCTCTCATAGGGGGTTCTGGGTTGAACCTATCACAGATGGTTCTAGATATAACCCTTTATGTTGGTTTCTCGGTAGATCCCTCTGAAAGGTTTCCTTGTCCCAGGAACCAAAAAGGTTTCTCCTACAAGGACAAGCTGAAGAACCCTACATGGTTGTAGTTAGTACATTTATTTTTAAGATAGACAGATAGATCCTTGATTGTGTTATGCAAAGAAACAAACCTGTTAGCAGCATATAAATATGTACAAACGCACCAACACACACTCACATATTCACCAACACACACACTGGCATAAACTCATCACATAATTCTCACGACCACATACACATTCATTTTCATATTTTTAAGATATATGATAAATACTAGGTGCACAACTTGTGAGTTTGTGGATTTCTTGTCTGATTAAAGCAAAAACTAAAAAGACACATTGACAGAGCTACACTGAATATCATGCATCTTTCTTTATACGTACTGGTTTTGTATTTCACACCCTGTCTGACCTGTGAATACTATAAACTTCTCTAGTTTACAGTCTTGTGATTGAGAGCAGGGGAAACTCGTGTGTCACACTCCAGTGAAAAGAAAAGTCTAGTCTTTCGCTCTTGTGAAATGTCATTACAAAACTAGAACCGTTAGCAAGCTCTTCCTGAATGAATCACTAGGTTCATTCATCTCAAAATGGTCTTGACTGTCATAACAGTAATGCAGCGTGTTTTACAAGGCATTAAAGCACTCTGATATGATCTGCACTATGTGTGGGAAAGCTTTAAAGTTACATGAGGTGTTTCTGAATCTTTTAGTCAAGTGTGAACTGCAGAATGTTTTACAGGTCCCATGATTTATTGATGATTTCCTCTGACACTTCAATAAACAATGTGGGTTTTTTTTTGTAAGATTTACAGTACAAATGCAGTAGTTAATATCAACTCAATTATTTTGAGTTTTAAAGAAAAGCAGGAAAGTATATTACGTAGTTGTGTTGAGTGTGCTGTTGTTTGTAATACTTCAATGTAAAAGCATTATGAACACGTAATAGCGAGTGAACTCTATGGACACTTCTGAGGCTGTAGTTTCATTTTTGGTACTGCATTATTATTATTTTGTTTTTATTTTGTCAACCTGTTATTGCCTCATGCACTTCACGGAGGGTAAAACAAGCAGCAAACAAGAATAACAAGCTTTTAAACTGGATTAGCTTGCTTTGTTTGAGTTTAAAAGTGATACTCTGACACATTCTTCAGAAACCTACAGTAACAATAACTGTGTTTGGAATAGACCGAAGGGTGTTAGCTTAGTTAATACACAACACTTTAGGCTTATCACTTCACACACACATATCCAAACATAATGCCTGACAGCAGGAAGAATGGCGTCACTCTGCATCACAGTTTCAGCCTTACATCACTTTAAAAAAATGTAGGTGTAACACAGGTACGGTAGTTTTGCTCATGCACACGCAGGCTTCACGGTTGCACCCTATGTCATCATTTAGTCATAAAAATCTAAATATGAACCACCATTTTTCCCACATTTGCTCACATTCAATTTCACTGTGGAAACATCTTTGTACCGTTTGGTACTGGGTCGCGCCCAGGGAAACAGAGTGGTTGCCTGGATACCAAACAGATGTCAGTATATAGAGGCGTCCGCCTACGAGTGAACTCTTTATTGTTTTCAAATCAGTCACACACACACACACAGTCTTTGGACTGACTATGATGGTGTGATGGAGAGTGTCAAATGAAACCATCTGTTACAGACTAAATTAGACACCCAGGACTAATAGAGAATACAGTTGTCACCACCTGTAGGAAGTATTAGCCCCAGGAATTAAGAGCAACAGCTACAGTAAGTTTCTATACTGAATGTGGAAAGATTGCCTCCTACTCTGTATATCTAGTTCTCTCCTCTGCCAGTTTTGAATGTATTGTATTCTTCATACACAGTTTTAGACTAGTGCCATTAAGATAACTGTTTCCGTCCATTGTTGGTCAAAACATTCTCACTCGGACCTCGTCACATATAAGCGTTTGGTCATGAACCTTTCACATCCAGATTAAATGTTAGCATTTTGCCTTGGTACAACAGAGCCGCTATAAACTGCAAACTCTCAGTCTTGTTTTATTGTTTGATAGACCTACTCTCACCCACACATCCAAACTAAGAGACATCACAAGTCCACATTGCTTCATTAGGGACTAAAGAACACTGCCAAGAACATGTTTTGGATTCTCAGGAAGACCAATAAAAGAAACTCTATAACCTTAACTCAGCAAATTAAGTGATTCTGCACTGAAGGTGTCAGTTGTGGAAATATCTGCTCTTTATGTAACGTCTTTCATAACTGCTTTTCCAATAAGGGGATATCAATTCCTCCCTGTGTCTTTCTTTTCCTTTGGACCATTTCCTCTTCATTGAAGGGAGAGAGACTTTGTCTCACATCATAAAACAATATTTCCACCATCTACAGTTATTCCCTAAATAGAAACTTGCATACTGGGGCTGTGAACGTTCCACGGACTCAACCCATCCACCAGATGTCCAAAAACTTCAGCGGAGTGACCAAAGCTGTCGTACTGGAAGGGAGGGAAGTGCAGAGGTCACTGTAATAGAACTGGGACTCTGGGGACCTCTATGTCACTGTCTCCCTGGTAGGTCAAACATAAAGCAGTGACTTCACATGACCAAGAGTGTTTTTACTTTAAAGTTCGGCCTTTGTTGCAAAGATATATAATGCTGTGGAACCTTTATGAGTTCATCTGTCAGAGTTCAGGCGCTACCTTAAAGCCCTTTTCTGCTCTTTAATATATCTCTATATTAAATATATAAAAATATTCAACAACTAAAAATGCAACAATGAGAGAGTTTGTGGGGAAGAACATCCTCAGAATGGTTCAGTTATGCTGCATTCAAGTTATATGGGATAAATGTTAGAACAATTGGCAGGTGTTATCATCATTAAGACGGTAGAATTAATTAAGGAGTTGGACAAGTGAGGATTAATACTGTGCATTAACACTGTAAAGCCATATCCATGAATTCTAGGTTCATATATTGAACAAAGTTTTTTGAGCAAGGCGTCCATATTTGCTTTGTTTTCAGGCGTAACTTGAATGTTGATTTGAACGTAATTTACAAGTCTGAAATTCCTAATTACAATAACTGCAATACAGCATGAACGCAGCATTACACACAAAAACTCAGAACTGTGTGGTTTGATTGAGGCCCTCAGGAAGAGCAATGGGCTTTATGGCCAATTTTCATAGTGGCGAATATGTGGAATTACAACATCCGGGTCTGTCATGTGATGTCATTGGGGCCAAAAAGGCATTTTCCATAGATGCATAATGTGAAGGAGACATCTGTAAATCAGTGGAGCTTCACAAACCCGTTTTACGATCAGAATTTGATCCATTCACTCCAATAACATTTCTAAAGTCTAGAAGAGCCACACTATTAAATCATTTAATCACTTAATTCAAGTTAGTAGAGGGCTAAACTGAAAGTTCATTGCTCAGCTGGCAGAAGTCTCTGGTGCACCTGCTCTATTGGCCCAGTGATGCGAAAGATCCGGGTAATTTTAGATCAGAGAAGCCTTTTTTTTTTTGGCTTCATGCGCCACTGAGCAGCTTTCATGAACAGGGCCCTGCCTCAAACGCTGTATCCAGTGTTCTTTATACATCCTTGGGTTGAATTGAATTAGCAAGTTGAGTTAGCCTGGCAACATGAGCAAACATCCTGAATTCTGATTAGTGCAGAGACATACCTGACATCACCTTTTTGTCCAAATGAGTCCTGCACTTTAAACCAGTCAAAGGGAGTTCAGAATTTTCTTCACGGAAATACACTGTTTGACATTTGGCAAAAAATATTGTCTTCATGTAGGATCTCATCTCTCTCCTATGTTTTCAGCTCATTTCTATAAACTGTGCGACCTGTGCTAAGAGGTCAGGTGTCAGTCCAACTCTGACGCTGTACAGCAGCTGTGCAGAGCTCTCTGTACTCTGGATCTCACCCATGTTAGCTTAA